AGACTTAACAAAGCAGTGCTTAACTATCACGCGAATGCTGAACGAGAGCAGAAGAAAGAACAAGAACGCATTGAGAAAGAGCGTATGCGTCGTCTTATGGCAGAGGATGAAGAGGGATACAGAAAATTAATTGATCAAAAGAAGGATAAGCGTTTAGCATTCTTGCTATCCCAAACCGATGAGTATATCAGTAATCTTACGGAAATGGTGAAGCAACATAAAATAGAGCAAAAGAGAAAGCAAGTTGAAGAACAAAAGCGTAAGAAGGTAATGTAAAAATTTAAAAATTGACGATTCTTTCATGTAATAAAGTACTTGTAATATTAATGGAGCCTTGTGATTATAGCAGAAAAAGAGGAAATTACAAGATGGTGAGAATGGTGAGGATGGCGGAGCCAATGATGATACTCGTGTTGGTGTAATAGAAACAGTCACTGGTCGTACATTAACTGGCGATGAAGCACCATTGATGAGCCAATTGTCAGCATTTTTAGACGCTCATCCCGGATGGGAGCCAATTGAGTCAGACAGCGAGGATGATGATGACGATGATGAAGATGAGAGCGAGGACAAATCCGATAGTAAGTGTTTATTTTTTAGATTTATGTATAGATTTTTTGCGTATGACTTAACTAACGAAATATTAATTAGGCAAAGATAAATCAATGGGCGATTCAGAAGAAGAAAAAGTAAAGAAAACGATACATAAAGCGAAAGTGGAAGATGACGAATATAAAACAGAAGAACAGACATACTATAGTATCGCTCATACGGTTCACGAAGTTGTTACGGAGCAAGCAAGTATTATGGTGAATGGAATGTTGAAAGAATATCAAATTAAGGTACTTTATACATTTTAATATAATTTTAGTTTTATATTATATTTTAAACAAATTCATTTCTCTGTGAATGAAAGAGCTTATGAATGATTTTAATGATTTTAGGGCCTGGAGTGGTTAGTATCGCTGTTTAACAACAATCTGAACGGTATTTTGGCAGATGAAATGGGTCTTGGTAAAACAATTCAAACCATTGCTTTAGTAACATATCTCATGGAAAAGAAGAAAGTCAATGGTCCATTTCTCATCATTGTTCCATTATCGTATGTTTCTTTCCTTCTTTTTAGAGCTTCCCTTCTTTAACATAAAAGACATTGCAAATAAATTAAATGACAATTTTAATACATGCTTCTAGGACATTATCAAATTGGGTTCTTGAATTTGAGAAATGGGCACCAAGTGTCGTTGTAGTATCGTACAAAGGTTCTCCAGCTGGCAGAAGAGCAATACAATCTCAGATGCGAGCTACAAAATTCAATGTTCTTTTAACGACTTATGAATACGTCATAAAAGACAAGGGTGTGTTAGCCAAACTGCAGTGGAAATATATGATTATTGATGAAGGACACAGGATGAAAAATCATCACTGCAAACTTACTCAAGTGCTGAACACACATTATTTGGCTCCTCATCGACTATTGCTAACCGGTACACCATTGCAAAATAAATTGCCAGAACTGTGGGCTCTTCTGAATTTCCTGTTGCCTTCAATCTTTAAGTCCTGCAGTACATTCGAGCAGTGGTTCAATGCTCCTTTTGCTACCACTGGCGAGAAGGCAAGTATTTTGCGTAAAACACATTTTTAATGCAGCTCTGCTATTTGACATTATTATTTATTGTTATATCTTGCGTAGGTGGAACTGAATGAAGAAGAAACTATTTTGATTATTCGTCGTTTGCACAAAGTATTACGGCCTTTCCTGTTGAGACGCTTGAAGAAGGAAGTAGAATCACAATTGCCTGACAAAGTGGAATACATTATCAAATGCGATATGTCTGGCCTACAGAAAGTTCTTTATAAGTACGTAAATACATTGTTTGTGCTTAATTTCTTTATCAGACTAATTTGTGTAAGCATAATGTACATATAAACAAAAATTTTCTGCTAGGCATATGCAAAGTAAAGGTGTACTACTGACTGACGGATCGGAAAAAGGAAAGCAAGGAAAGGGTGGTGCCAAAGCTCTTATGAATACAATCGTACAACTAAGAAAACTATGCAATCATCCATTTATGTTTCAAGCTATAGAAGAGAAATACTGCGAACACGTAGGCACGCAAGGTTCCGGTGTTATTACTGGGTATGTATCTCAACAGCTATTTCGAGCGCTTTATATGTGAAACAAAATATTTACTTATAATTTTTATTTGTTATTAGGCCCGATCTATTTCGTGCATCAGGAAAGTTTGAACTTCTCGATCGTATTCTTCCCAAATTGAAGGCTACGAATCATAGAGTATTACTGTTTTGCCAAATGACTCAGTTAATGACAATTATGGAAGATTATTTAAGTTGGCGAGGATTTATGTATTTACGATTGGACGGTACAACGAAAGCGGAAGATAGAGGAGATCTATTAAAGAAATTTAACGATCCTGGTTCGGAATATTTCCTCTTCTTGCTATCCACACGTGCTGGTGGTCTTGGATTAAATCTTCAAGCTGCTGATACAGTTATTATCTTTGACTCTGATTGGAATCCTCATCAGGTACATAACATTAATATAGATTATAGTAAAAATTAACGCAGTATTGAACTTGAAAATGACATACATGTATTTGCAGGATTTGCAAGCTCAAGACAGAGCACACAGAATCGGACAGAAGAACGAAGTGCGCGTACTTCGATTAATGACCGTTAATTCCGTTGAAGAGCGGATATTAGCAGCAGCCAGATATAAACTGAACATGGACGAGAAAGTTATTCAAGCTGGTATGTTTGATCAGAAGTCCACTGGCTCCGAGCGACAGCAATTTCTTCAGAGTATTTTACATCAAGACGATGCTGAAGATGAGGAAGAGAACGAAGTGCCCGACGACGAGACTGTAAATCAAATGATTGCTAGATCAGAGGGTGAATTCGAAACATTCCAAAAATTAGATTTGGAACGTCGACGTGAGGAGGCAAAATTAGGTCCAAATCGCAAATCGCGACTACTAGAGGAAGCTGAGTTGCCCGACTGGTTGGTAAAGGACGACGACGAAGTGGAAAGATGGACCTACGAAGAGGACGAAGACAGATTCCTCGGAAGAGGTTCAAGGCAGCGTAAAGAGGTTGATTATACAGATAGTTTAACCGAGAAAGAATGGTTGAAGGCAATTGACGATGACGGCGCCGAGTATGAGGAGGAAGAAGAGGACGATAAGAAGAAGAAAAAAACGCGGAAACGTAAGAAGAAAGGCGAGGAAGATGACGAGCCTATGCCGAAAAAGCGAAGGGGTGCCGGATCTTTGGTCGATCCTAAAATGAAACGGGCTATGAAGAAACTAATCACATTAGTTGTTAATTATACCGATAGTAGCGATGGACGATTATTGAGTGAACCTTTTATGAAATTACCATCACGAAGAGAATTGCCGGACTATTATGAGATCATCAAGAAACCTTTGACAATTAATAAATTATTGCAGAAAATCGAAGAAGGCAAAGTAAGTATTTCCTGCATCTTTTCTTGCTTTCTTTGGATATACGTATGTAATTCAATAATTTTGTAAATCTCTTTTTTTCCAGTATGCTGATTTAGACGAACTTGAGAAAGATTTCATGCAACTTTGTAAGAACGCTCAAATTTATAATGAGGAAGCATCTCTAATTCACGAAGACTCGATAGTGTTACAATCCGTCTTTACAAATGCGCGTCAACGTCTTGAAGAGGAAGGCAATAATTCCGACGGAGACGATAAGGGTAAATATTTTATAATTTTATCGTATAATTATTCAGTAAATATTAAAATTTAATTTTCTTTTTCTTAACGCTTTTTTTTGTACCTTTTTTTTTGTTACACAGATGGCGAAGACGGTTCGGACGCGGATTCTAGTGTAAGGATGAAAATTAAGCTGAAAGGACGAAAGGGTGAGGGAAGAGGTGGTCGTAGAAAGAGAGTTACTAAAAAATATATATCCGACGATGATGATGATGCTGATGATAATTAAGAAGTATTGCGTTGATGCTTCTTAAAAGCTAAGGAACATAATTTAAGTATTTAATCGATTTATTGCAATTACATCATAGTATCCTGAAAATCGACCATTGATTGATTGATCCTGAATGTAGCAGACTCTTATAAAAGTACAACCAACAATTGTATGTATGCGCATTTGATTATAGCAGTGGAGTAATGCTACTGTAAACTTAATGTGTTATTAACTTTTATAATTAGTGAACTTATTGATAAATATTGAATATACCATAAGTCTATTTAGATATATGTTATATCTCGATATCATGGGAAGAGGGAGACATAACGTGTTGTATCATTTTCGTAAATTCAAGTAAATTTGTGAGTAGTGCTATTGTACAGAAAAAAAGATTAGCATTAAGATTTATTTCGAATATTGTTTTAATCTCTCTACTTTTGCAATGAAGTCTGATTGAATATTATATTTGAATTTCGATTGATGAGTCTTATTTCGAGTTCGCGTTTCTTTATTGGGGATAGACATTTGAGTGCGTTACTCTATGCCTCGCCGCAGTATAATATATGTTAGATTTTTGTAAGTGCTCACAGACATATATATGCAGTATATAAAGAAAGAAAATTTTAGTTTGCTAAAATGATATCATGTAATTTTTTGCAAACATTTTGCGATATATTTGTGGGATATATTGAGGATGTTATTTAACTGGCCAATATAATTTATCACCATTGACACTTATCAATCTACATTTTATTTTTTTAAATCTTTGTCCCACACATAGATGTGTTATAAAGTTTGATTGAGTCAATATTATGATAGCACATGATGTTCATTTACGTACCATGACGATTTTACTTAATTCTTTTTCAATTGCTTAACAAAAAAGGAATTATAAACAGAAACTGAATTTTTAATAATCTATTATCTGTTTTAATTTTTTATATTTGAACTTGATAAAAATATTTAAATCACAGTGTTTATTAAAAAAAAATCAATTATCATAAATTTGTTACATATATTTGGAATGTTTATTTTTTCCCAACATATAGCTGCCTTTTGATTAAATTTATTGATGTGTAATACAAGATTATATAAATTAGCATTGTATCGTATTACTCGATCAATCAATATTGGCGACAAGTTTTATTATAAACTATAGGCAATTTAATTTGTCAAATGTAATAGTTTTTCCTTTTGTTACGTGAGCTTCATTTTCTATTGGTTTTCTTATGTTTGTCAAATTCGATTCGATCGTCTATTTCTTTACGGTAAAATATAAGCTATTACTTGTCAACTTCAGAAAAGGATTGCAGTGATCGAAGCAGCGAATATTCTGTATATAATTGCCACGTGATAATGATTTGAAATATTATACAAGTAAATGTGTCTTTGATATAATATATTCATTTTATTGGTGATGAATATATTATATGATAGTTAGAATATGCTACGTATATTTATATCATGGTATATTTATACTAGAACCTCAACTTTTTGATTTTTTACATACCAGATTAAGGTAAACTGTTATATTCATAACGAATTTATCGTAATTTCTTCAAAGTTTATATAGCGACAACAGTAATTCTTTGTGTGCAAAGGTGTAACATATAATCGAAAAGTATTCATAAAATAAATTATAGTATATTCAAGTAACTGCGTTAGGTATAAGTAGATAATGCGTGAATAAAGAGAGAAAGATTTGTGAAAAACAGATAAAATCTTACAAGTTACAATTTCTTTATGTGAAGTTACTCTTTCTCCAAATAAAAAGTTACACTCTTTATATAAGCTTGCCTTAGTTCAATAATTTATTTTTTGGGTTTTTACTTTTAAATCTTTTCGAAATAATATGGCTTTTGGCAGCAATTAATATTTGTTTGCTGAAGATGAAAATATATATACATATAAATATTACAGAAACAGATAATCTATATAACGACATGAATAGTTTTAAAATTGTTTAAAATAATTATATTCTAAAAAAAAAAGAAATGCCAACAGTACACGGTGTTCCCAAACGATGTCACCCATTTAAGTACTAACCGCGCTCAACGCGTTGTTTGACGCGCAAGTGAACGAGAACGAGAACTTGTGTGTCGAACGTGGTTTGACGATAGCCTCTTTTTTTGTAAAAAGAGAACGCATATTTCTTCATCAAATCTTCATTCTTCAATTAATGAAAAAATAGTATTTATAGAATATCATATCTATATTCAAACATAATTTTCTCTCACATTTTAAAATTGCAAATTATCAAATTACAATATCTGTTCCATATACAAAGCAATAAGTAGAGCACTTTAAAAAATTCCCGGCGTCTCGGTTTTTCATAGCTCACTAATTTTTAATAAAAATCGCGGTGAATGAATAAATACTTCTTAAAGTCTATGTGCAATTTTGAAGCTCAACTTTGTAAAGAAGTCGTTAGTCGTCATCTGTATTCTAATAGCATCTATCGTATTATGAATATCGGTTATTCGATACTTTTAATAAAGAAAAATCAACATCTGCTCCATCGTCTGAAATATTTAGCATGAGTTGCTTTTGTACGCTCTGTATTATGCGCATTTAACCCGTTCCATTTCGCTTGGTGTACGAGCTTGCAATTTAATTAGATGTCAGTCACGTATAAGCAGACGAAACTGGCGTATCGGTGCTTTTCTCTTTGTAGAGAAGATACGACTTACTTTTTCCCATTCACAGGATGAGGATGCCATGTTGGGCTTACGCGCGAGAAGGGGGAGAGGCATTTAAAAAGCGGCGAGACAGTGGCGAACGTTGTTGCTTGTATTCTTTGGCCTTTGACCTGACGTGTCTGGCCAGCTAGAACCGTTGCTCGTCGCGGATCCCATGCGCGCCTGTTGGTGGCAATTTCAGCTCTGTTTTGAATTTAGATGGAATTTAGGCAAGCTGTTACGGACCGTCCAGTCGCCTTCTCCGGTACACTCCCATTTGTGTGCATGACTGCTTATGCGTGGTATGTATGATATGTATGTGTGTGCATACGTACATATGTGTAATACTATTTTTTATAGATTATGAACTAAAAGTTCGATGACAGAAATAAATATCTGTCATTTCTTACAATAAAGAAGACATTATCGTTAAACGACATTGAACGTACGAAGTTCTCGTCCGATTAAGTCAAGCAACGTTGGGCGCGATTAGTACTTATTGCTAAATGGGTGACCATTTGGATACATCGTGCATCTGCTGGCATTTCTTTTTTTAGAATTTATTTTATGCCTTAAATTTATTAATTTTTTTGTCGTACTTATACATTATCTTATAAAATTAATCAAAATGATAACATATATAATAATATGTATAAAATTACATATTATAATTCAATTAATTACTTCAATTATATTTCTTATTTATATTTCTTCAATTATTATGTATATATTTTTTCTTCCTCTAAAGAAGGAGATATTACTTTTAGCTCTGTTATACGGACGTTCCGTATAAATATCGTCCAATGAATTTAATACGTATTCGCGTATTTACGCTGTATGCTATTTGTTGTTTTGCCTGGACGAGCTTTCCCCCTTAGAGAGAAGTCCCATTCGAAAGGATGTGGAGAACGACGACGATGGAAGGGAATAAATTGCTATCGCGTCTGATCGTATATAAAGCTTACCTCCTTGAATGGTTACTACTCGTGATTCGGACCGATATCTCGTGGCATGCCATACGGGAAATGAGAAGAATGAAGAAGAGAGGGCGAACTCGTGCGTCATCGTTATTTTCTCTTTTCGTTCTCGCGTATGGCGATCAATTGCGGATGAAGTGGCAGAAATTCGCGCGTGACGGGGTTGCACTAGAACGATTTAGAAACATATATTGATCGCTTTAATTCGAGAACTCTCCTGCAACTGTCAAAATAAAATTAATAAAACGATTAACGCGACAAATTAAAGAAAATTAGAAATAAAAGTAAGACCGTTAGATAATAAAGAACGTCAATTTTTTATATAAAAATTCAAGATCGCATTGCATGAAAATGGCAATGTTAACGTCGAACTTATGTTTTAGTCATTGTTATTTATTTTTTACTTTTTTCACGGTCTTCACTTTCTTCTATATCATTTTGAAATCTTTGAAAAACATATATATATAGGTATTGTTTATAGTGTATATTATTATCGCCGCAGAACACCGTTTGCTATGCATCTTTTCCTTCTTTAAGGTGTACTAAGTGATGTACGCATCGCGGTATTCTTGAAGCTTTAGGCGGAAACTCAAATACAGACGCTATACAAGATCAATATAGTTGTATACTACGATGCACATATGTTCGGGAGCGATTCGAAGGATACACCGACTGCATTCAACGATGAACAGTATCATTTTCTCGTTATGACGATTGAGAACGCGGAAGTTTCTCTAAAGTGAGGTCTGAGCAAGATAGAAGGCATCTTGTCTACTATCACAATTAGATAACAATGTCTAATATCAAAATGATTACGATTGCGAATTGCGTTGTTATAAATATTCGCGATAATTTGCAATGTACTTGATTATATTTAATGAAAGTATTTATCTTTATTTTTATGTTAGCGAGGAAAAAATAAATCATTCGTTAATTAAATTTGTAATTTTGTCTGGAATATATATTTTTAATTAATTTTGAAAAAAAATATTTATATATTTCTGTTTATATATATGTACGTATCGTAAATAGAAAACAATTTAAATAATTGATAGTTTGTATAGAACACTACAATGATTATAAAACATTTTATTTCTGCTCTCATTAAAAGAACTACAGCTGTATGCACATAAATTATTCTGCCGATACAATTCAACATACATACAATTCAACATCTATTAAAATTCTAAAGTAATTTCTGCGTTTTAAACTATTGTGTTGCGTGGAACGTAAAAAAAAAATAATTTTTATTTTTTGTACTTATAAAAATATTCCTTTGACGCTTCGTTGTATAATTTCTTTTTTTTTCTAGACTGAGGAATATTACAGACTTCGAGGGAAAACTTGCGTCCTTTGAGATTTAAAAATTACCTTCCGTGTATATTTTGGCCGTGTACTCTTCATTTCGTCACATGCATGCAGCTTACAGGATTGTATACGATCGGTATGATCTTAATTTTTTTATTACGCCCATGTAGAATTAAAGCAACGCTTGTTCAAGTGCAATTGGACGATCAAAAGCTCGGAAACAAATAGCTCGTTTGAAGCAAATGATGTTTCCAGAAACGGATGGCAGTCACGATAAGCTGGAAAATCATTATTATCGCGAAAAAATCGTGGCCGAGCAATAATACGCGCTTTCGGCTTTTCGATAACGCTACAGGGTACTTAATGACGTCGCGCTAGATTGATATCAAGTAATTATCGTTCACGTGATAAAGCACCGTTTCCCGGAATCCCCGTGCCCTCTCCTCCCTCGAAAATAATACAGGCCGGGCGTAAAATACGGGATATCCCGCTCCCGACATTACAAATCGCTCCGCCGCCAACTTTCCGATGATTTATGCAACCGCGCGATGACTGATGATCCTCTTTATCAGATAAATGTACTACCATCCCGCGACGATCAAGTCCTCACATATTTGCTACAACTTCCATATTTTACGCGCGCTCATTTATTCTTAGAGCTTAAGCTGTGACGACGCGCAAGTTTCTCCTTCTCAGAATGCCGTTTCTGACAGAGTGACAATGCACAATGTCTGTAACATTTATTATACTTCGATGGTATTATTTGGAAGGCATATTGATCCATTAAAAAATGTTTGATATCATATCTTATTTTATTATATATCACGCGTATCAATCATTATTTTTTTATATTTTTATATTATTTTATAATATTTTATCGTTATATACTTATGATAATAAAAATTCTATCGTACAGCATACACGACAAAACAGGTAAGAAACGTGTTAATCTATTTCATTTTATCCACTCATTACGCAAAATAACAATTTAACTATTTAATTTCAACAACTCTAATTGTTATTTTGTGGATAAATGAAAAGATCTCGTTGAATGTTTAATTTTCTGAAGCGCGACATCATCTATAAAAATAATATCGCATCCCCTCGAAATGATAATACCCTTTTACAGTTCAGCTTAAAGAAATCGCACTGTAAAGCCCTTAAAGCTGATAGTCCGCATTGTCTGTAATGAGAGGCTATCTGCAGTAATGCCAAAGTGATCCGTGTAACTGCAATTGCAAAGTGTTACGACCTCCGCTTCGTTACGTGCGCAATGCGGACGCGCGACTCGCGCAACCGCGCGATATTACATAATTATCACGCAGAAGGTTTTGGCTCGCGTTCCAACTGCAGATACACGGCAAGGGGATTACGGCTATAACACTTTATCCATTAATGAAGTGGCCGATCGATCCGCGCTATCTCCGCAGCTCGTACATCCTGCGGCGTACGATATTTCTCAAATATCCCTTCCCCCTCCCCGCGCATTCGCGTTTTTTACTCTTTATCCGCAACCATAACTCAATGCCGTGACACATCAAATCCTGTTTTAACGTTTTCACATGTTTCATATTGTACGCTTTCCCCGATCTCCAGGCGACTGCGGCACGTATTTACCTTTTATCGTATTCATAGTTTATTTGTAACATAACATATTTTTGTAATATATTTTTCTACAAAATGTAACAAAAATTTTTAACGGTTGAAACGCCTCGGGTAAAAATACAATGCACCTATTGTATTAAAAAAATTTCTGCGTTCCACAAACTTTAAAAAAATGTAAGTTTAAAAACAAAATGTAATAAAGACCGCATACGAAATATGTTTATTAAGAAGTATATTAAATATCGTTGATAATTTATTATTTTGAATATCCATAAAATGTTATTGCTGTTTATAAATCCTTTAATAATCTGAATATCTATATATCTTTATACATATAAAGTTATTACAATTTATTAAATAAAACAACAATGATGGGTTTAAAATTCCAACGTCGAGAAGGAATGAAACATTTAGCGAAATGACTTTAATAATATTTATTGATTTGTTAATTCTAAAATTTTAATTAACATTTAGCAAAACAACTTTAATAATATATTCTTTAATTCAACCTTAAATTTTAGAATGTTGTTTATATATACAGAATTTCTGTTTTCTAAAATTCTAAAACTTCTAAAATTGAATTAACAAATATATTATTGAAGTCGTTTCCCTAAATGTTTCTTTCTTTCTCGACGCTGAAGCTTTAAACCCATTTTAAACCTATTATTTGACTTCCGCAAGATTACCACGCGCTATTTTGATCTATCGATTGTCGCGGTCGAATTTCAATTTCGGCTGTGACTCGTCGGAGCGCTTTATATATATACCGTATCATAAGTGACACGTATCATTTTCAATTTGTTGAAATTGCCGTTCGTCAAGGGAGGAAAAATAACCGCCTATCACACCGCGGCCGTTGAGAATCCTCGAGTTCGGGTTCGAAGGGGATAACTGATTGGTGGGGGAGGATAGGAGGATGAAAATAGTTCGCAAACGCAATTAAATCGCGCTATTTCACTCCCACGGTCCGTTCCCGTCTCCGACCACTTTTGCGGTCGAAATTTAAATCAATTCCGCCCTCGTTCTCTCTTTATCCCTCTATTTATCTGTCTATCTACGTCTATCTCACCCCCCCCCCTCTCTCTCTCTCTCGGAGGGATCCCCGATGCTGCGCACAGCGGGATTCATTTGCTATCGCGCGGTTAACTTTCAACAATGTTGCCATTGTACATATTGTTCCGCATCCGCGACTTGCCGACGATAGGGTGGAGAGCGCGACACACTACAAAGCGATGCGTATACCTATCCTGCGGCGGATAAAGCGAGCATACCTTCGGGGATGTTATCTCTGGTTACGTTACTCGAGTACACGCATTTATATGTGTACATCGCGAGAACGCCGCGACACTTCGCTTTGTATAAACGCGCGCGGCGACACGCATGGCGACATTCGACATCCGCTTTTTGACGCGATTTGTATGCACAACGGCTACGTAATCGCTTCGGGATCATACATCGCGCCGTCACTATAATAGTGACGTTAATAGGCTTTAATCCTTTTCTACAAATCCACGTACATTATAACATATATATATATTGATCGAGATCTGCTATTTTATGATGTTGAATCATGTTTATTAAAAAGGAAAGAAAAAGAATTTCGATTATATATAGTTTCTAGTAACCGTTGATTCTTCTCTAAAAAATCTGCATGAAGGAAAAATTCTCTTGCTTTCTATTAATGTAAATAAAATATCTTTGAGACTTTACGCTCTCTTATATATGCACTATATTAATATTAGACATGTATGAAAATAACTATCTTCTTTCACATTGTTTTGTTTCTTTATGTCATCATCATGAAAATGCAGATTTAAATATTTATCGATACAATAGCTTTGATTACATTTGGATGGTTATATTTTTGCCAAAACCGCATGTTTCCTTCGCCCTTGTCCCTTATAGGTTTAACTGATTTTCCTCCCCGTGAAAGAAATCGCTCGAATTTACGCTCGAACATCCAAACGCTAGCGGATTGGATCGGACTCCTTCTTCGAAACTTACTTGGCTACTCGAGTTTAGAGATCAGAAGTTGAGCAGAGTGAAGGAAGAAGGTGAGGAAATTACATGTCAGCTTGCTGTCAAAGATTCTGCCCACGCGAACGGAGCGTAAGATCATCGGCACCACGTGTACACGACTTTTGGATTCATCTACGTCGTTATTAGCCGCGCGGCTGCGATATCCCCGCGCTGCATCATTCGCCGATAGTGAAATATTATTAAAATGTCAATAAATTGTCGGCGCTTTAATTAGCATCAACGTAATTAACGAATCCTGAATACCACGTGCAAGGACATTTATTATTCACGGTATGAAGCGAAGAGGCAAAAGAGATTGATAGAAATTTCGAATTCCAGCCAAGTATTATATATATTCAATTTCCTCCCTCTTCTCCATTTTCTTATATTAAATTAATATTATATTAAATTAATTTTGAAAGTTGGTTTAATATTTACGAGTCGTACAAATATATCAGTTATGTACGACCATATGCATCTCTCTAATCAAAAAATTAAAAGTCTATCTTATTATTTTATCTAGTTAGAATGTCACAATTGGCTAAAGCTAAATTTCAATAAAAGCACAAATTATATAAAAAGTTTAAAATAGTAAAAATTAGAGACACATCTCTCTATCGTAAACTCTATCTCTTTTCTGATTCTCGGCTCTCTTTAACATATTACTGAACAAAGAGAAAATTACATTTGTATTACGGCGTGTCACGCGAATGGAGATGCGCGCCGTTTCGGGCGGTCGGTCGACGCTTTTCGTCTGAATTTTAACTAATTTCTCCATTATGTCGCTTTATAGGGGGGGGAGGGGGAGGGGGAGCATGGTGTCACAGACTGTTGTCGCGCATGAATTTCACACTGGGCACGAACAGTGTAATTGGACCGTGCACTTCCGGACGCGCGCCCGACAGAATACAACCGACCAATCGTTCCGGCATGTATATATGCATACATACGTGCCGCGTCGCGT